GGGCAATAAGCCTAGATAGCAGCTGAAATCAAGTTCTGATATGGGGAAGAGGGGGAATTCAGTCTGGTGGGATTTCCAAGACCTACTGTCAAAAGTTTTCAACACAGTTATGCAGCATCCTCTGTTCTGAAGTCTGTCCTTTGCAGAAGTACCATGCTAGAAAACCATCAGGAGGTCACAGATCATTCTGAAGAATCAACGTAATGACATGGGCTGATGACAGGTTGACATCTAAGGTCATGGACCATTTTCTTTGGGGGATGCTTGCATAGAGCAGAAGAGTTACATCAGCAAAATGTCACTGAAAGCTGTCACCAAATTCAACAAACAAGGCAGAGGACTACTCACTAATGTACCCTCATCCCACTAAACCGAGAATACTCGATGCCATTCAACAAGGCTAGAACTGAGTACTGGTTCTTTGTCTAAATGTAAATACACAAATCCCTATAGGGAATGGCAGTGCCAGGCTTCTTCATAACTATAATGTTTGGTATTTTCCCAGCTATCTCTCTTCTTGAACAATTTTCACCAAATTCTAATGGTAGTACTTTTCACTTACCAATATCAATAAGCAGGATGGAAATGGAAAGTCACAAACCAACATGTGTAGCATGAAAAGACTGCTGTCTGCTTTTAAAAAAGTGTAATAAAAAAATTAATGATTGGGAAGAGAAGAGTCACAGAAGTGGTAAGCAGCCCAGGTCCTTAGTCAGAGATCCAAGATACATTCCTAGCTCTCTTGCTTATATTTGTATGACCTTAGGACACTATTTAACACCTGAGCCTCAGTTTCTCCATTTAAAAAAAGAGAATAACTATATATGTCACTGAAGACACTATTAAAGTATACATGTAAAGTACTCAGTACAGTGCCTGATACATAAAACATTATGAAAATGCTAGCTTCGTTTATAATAATAATTATTGTCATCACTATTTATAATTAGGAAATGCTTCTCAAAAGTGATATATTTGGACTTAACTTGTATATCATCTGATCTAGAAGTATAATTAAGGGTATCTAATCCCTTCTGATTTCATGAGTCAAACAGAAAACCAAAACAAATTGAATCACTCAACTGGTGTATTTAGAATTGCTGATGATTATAGCATTCAAGAAAGTTAGTGAAACACGCAAATTGCAATTCAACTGTTCTTGAAAATCTCCAAAGTCAGTTTTCATTTGTCTAGTCTAACAGTGGGTAGGGCTTATTCATTAAAAAAACACGTATATTTAAAAACATGTATAAAAGCCTCCTTGAAAGGAACATTGAGTAAGGTGAACACAGAGGAGACAAGAAGGTATTGCTACAAGGAGGGTATTTCAATATCATTTGTATTCCATCTTAGACAACAAAAATGTGCTCATCCCATTTGCACAGTGCTTTATGCTTTTCATGGAGTTATCACTGTATTGCCTTTTTATTTCATCTTTCTACCCCCAACACACACACACACACACACACACACACACACACACAGCCACAATGTACATGGCAGCCTCTGTTCCTAGCACTGGTTCTCTTCTAAGTCCGTCTACTATTAAAGCCTTCATGTGGTTGGAAGGGCAGGTATGGTGTTAGTCACAAGGTTTATGAAACCCTTCCAGAAGATTCATTTAAAGGATAATCTAATTAGCAAATTTTGAAAGGGGCTGGTATGCACATTTCATTTATCATTTAATTCAAAAAACTCCACAGCACAACTTGGACAAAGTCACTGGTATCAAAGGTCCTGATGTAGCATAATTTGTGTTGAATGTGTTGCATTTTGACAGTGCTATAAACCAGGGAGACAGTTTACTGACAATTCTCTGCTACCAGATACCAACTCAGGACTCTGTCCAGCTTTACATTGTCAACTTTCATGGAAACATGAGCAGTTACATAGCCTCAGAGGACGCTGAAGTTTGGACTGCAAAAGACGAGATGGACAGATTTCATATTTTCATTGCAGATTTTTTTTTTTTTTTGCCTTTTCAAACTGCTGAGAATAGTTTTTTTAAGGCAGGAAATGCAACTAGTGTTTGTTTCTAGCAGGGCTTCTGTTTTGAGATTTCTTCTTAGTAGAAGAAATGTGTTGCCCAGCTGTCTAGAATCCCAATCAGGATATGGTTTCAGCATGAAATATATTATAAGAATGATTTTAGCTGGTTATAAACAGGAACAAAAATGAAGCTGGGGCTATTTTATCTCAATTTTACCCAAAGAAGTGGCACTCTCATTCTGTCCAATGGGACCAATCTGAATAAATAAGGTAAAGTTTAGTTCTGTGTTTTTTCCCAGGAAGGAAAGAAATTCCAAAAGACAAACATTCAATAGCAGAGTTGTTGAACTTCTCAGTTATAGAGATTCTGAGAAATAAGAATCATGGGGCAGCTTTCCTAACGTACTACAATCCAAACTGGGTGTTCAACCCAAGTAGAATTAATGGAGAGTTTAATGTTTGGCATTTTTAATGCTTCTACCTACTACACTTGTACATTGTTCAACAAATACTAATTAAGAAATCCCTTTTGGGAGGCCCTGAGATTTAATGCTAGTAATGGGGAAAATATAAGTACAATTCAAGTCTTAACCTTTTATGAAAATTTGTAGAAAAGATGGACATTTCAACCAGTATCCTATCTTTTTTTTTTATTCTGGGATTTTTTTTTTTTTTTAGTGTTTCTGGAATATAAACACTAAGTATATTTCGTTATATTCTCTCCCCCCAAAATGGCATAAGATCTGTGGCATTAGATCTTTTATTAGATGGAATTTTAGATGCTGGATATAAATACACTACTGTAAATTCAACCATCCAGTGTAATGGGAACCCAGAGACGAATCCCAGGCTAAAGGATTCTGGATGGAAAATGCTTACAGTCTGTATCTTAAAGAATAAGAATTCTACTAGGCAGGAAGCCTATGTATGTGGATGAAAAAGAATAGGTGGAAGAATACTGAAAGCAAAGGGAAGAAAGCATGCAAAGGCATTATGAAATATAATGGTTGCAAATTTAGGAGTCAAGCTGAGGAGTGTAGTGTGAAATGGATAAAGATATCGTTCAGAGGCAGGGTGCCTACTTAGCATGTACCAGCCCTGGGATTGATCCCTGGCACCACCACCACCACCAAAATAAATAAATAAACAAATAAATAAAAGTACCACAAAGGCTTTTGAGGATCAGGGGATCCTCTGGTGCTGGCTAGTTGGAAGTTGGGTGCAAAGCCAGATTATGAGGAATTTCTAAATTTTTCTGAAGAATCCACTGACTATTTTTAAGTGCAAGAAAAACTAATATGAACTGGTCATGTTACTAAGGAAATATAATATTTATTATTTAATTGTATGTTCATAAATATCCTCAAGGCACTTGCATCCCCACTGTTTTCACTGTAAGGAACAGAGGCACAAAGGAGTTAAATAACATGGCAAGAGCATGAGAAAATTCTGAGTTCTATCATATTTATCTTATTATAAAACATATGAGCTTCTCTAACACCACTTTAAGATGTCTTGGGCTTCTTATTTTTCATTTCCTAATTTTCAATTTTTTCATTAATATTTTTAAAAAATATTTTTGGGTTTGCAGAAAAATTGGGTAGAAAGAACAGAAAGTTACCATAATACACTATCAATTTTACATCAGCTTCCCCCAATGTTAACATCTTATATTAGTGGGGTCACTGTTACAACTGATGAGCAAATAGTGATGTATTATTATTGATTATGTCCATAGTTAATATTAAGGTTAACTCTTTGTGTTGTATGTTATATGGTTCTTGACAAATGTAAGGTGATATATTTCCACAACTCTAGTATCATACAGAGTTGTGGAATTGAACCCAGGGTCTCCTGCATGCTAGGAAATTGCTCAAACAATTAGCTACATCCTCAGCCCTACTTTCAAGTGTTAACAGTAATGAATAAGGTTGCAATATATATTTGTGTGCAGGTTTTTATGTGAATATTAGTTTTCAACTCATTTGGGTAAATATCTGAGACACATTGTTGGATCATATGATAAGAATGTATTTACTGCCCAACTATGTTCCAAAGTGACTGCACCATTTTGCATTTCCATCAGAAATGAATGAGATTTTCTGTTGCTCTCCATCTTAGTCAGCATTTGGTGGTGCTTCAGATCATAGCTGTTCTAATAGGTGTGTAGGGGTATCTTGTTATTTTAATTTGTAACTCTTTGACAACATACACATTTCCTAATTTTTCATCTTTGTCCTTATTGATTAAATACTTTTCTAACATGATTTTCACTCTTGAATTTTCATCATTCATTCATTCTTCTATTCATCAGCATATATTAAGTGTCTATTAGAAGCTGTTAATTTTGGGGGAGATATTTTCATTTTGGTTAAGATTCAGAATATAAATACAAATTTGAGCAATTATTTGGTGTTTACTATTTTTATATGACAGTAGAGTATAGTAGAACATATAGATATGTTGCATTCATTCTAGAGTCTTTCCTATTCCCATACCTTCTCCCCCTTGTCTAGTCCAATGAAGTTCTAATGTGCTCCTCCCTTGTTGTGGGTTAGCATCTACATATCAGAGAGAACATTCTGCCTTTGGTTTTTTGGGGACTGTCTTATTTCAGTTAGCATGATAGTCTCCAGTTCCATCCATTTTTCTGGCAAATGCCAAAATTTCATTCTTCTTTATGACTGAGTAATATTCCATTGTGCATATATACCACATTTTCTTTATCCCATTTTTCTTTTTTTGATTATTCTTTTCCCAACTTTTATTTTGCCCTTTTCCACTTGGTATCTATTCCACATTAATTATTAATTTGTCTTTCTCTCTTTTCTATTTATCTACAAGTCAGTGGTTATCTTTTACCTCTATGGTGATAATTTAATAATTTCTTCAACTTTCCCTTTCTCCCTTCAAAGGTATTATCATTATCTCTTCATAGTGCCCACAGTACAGAGTCTGAAGATTTGTTAGAGATTACAGAAGGAAATGTCCAAATTAAAAATATCCTTTACCTTGGTTGACGATAAATCTTAACTTCTGGATTGTTGCCAAATTGCCACTAACTCGATATATTCCATCAGCATCTAGACCTGAAAATAAAAGGTTATGTTTTATATTAGCTTAAATAAGAACCAAGATGATATGAATAAGTAAATTTGAGAAGGAAGAGAGCAGTAAATCACCATCAAATCTCTCTTTCTCACAGATAAAACAAATTTCTGTGTCCTAACCTAAGCAATCTTCAACATTTTAATACCAATAAACTAATCATAAAATTAATTGACAGTTAATCATCAAAACTTTTGACTCTAATTGAGCCATAAAAGAGCTATAGATAACAAGGGATGACATAGCACATTTAAGATTTATTTAGAATAAATATATAGGAATTAAACCAGAGGAATGAGAACCTGCAGGTATATGTATATTGTCTTCTGCTTTTGAACAAGTAAAATAAGTCCAGGTTTTTGTGAGTTTTTTTCCCTGTTTTCTTCTGTCTTCCTAACTTCTTAACTTTTTCTTTTCTTCCTGCTCTCCCTCCTTTGTTTGTTTGTTCTTTCTTCATTCCAGTCCATTCTCTTTCTCTCTGGTACTGGGATTGAACCCAGTGCCTTGCACATGCAAAGCAAGTGCTCTACAACTGAGCTATACTCCTAGCCACCAGTCCATTCTCTTTTCCTTGTCACTATAGCATGACACACATTGATTGGTCTGATTATTTCAACTATAGAATAAAAATCATACTCAAATGTAAAATTTTACCATTTCAATGTGAGGTGTTCCCCAAAAGCTCATGTGTGAGCCAATGCAAGAAGACCTAGAGGCAAAATTATTGGGTTAGGAGTGAATTATTTAGCAGGTTAATCCCTTAACAGGATTGACTAAATGGTAACTGAAGGCGGGAGGGGTGTGGTTGGGGGTGTGGCTTTGGGCTATGTATTTTGAATCTGGCAAGTGGAGTCTCTCTTTGCTTACTGATCACCAGGTGAGAGTCTTCTCTCCACCAAACTCTTCTGCCATGATTTTCTGGCTTCTCTAGGCCCCTGAGGAATAGACTTGACTGTCTATAGACTGAGACATCTAAAACTGTAAGTCCCTAAATAAACATTTTCTCCTCTACAGTTGTTCTGGTTGGGTCTTTTAGTCACAGCAACAAAAAAAGCTGACTAAAGCATATAATTAGTTGAATAACTTACACTATACAATAGTAATGTGTTGTTACATTATGGAGGAACCAATAAATAAAACCCTTGCCAAAATGGTGATATTAATTTCAAATTATTATTAGAATTGGTCATCAAAATGAATTATCCTGGAAGTGGATATGGATATTCAACAACTTGTTTTAGACACACCTATTTATAGCATCTAGTTATTTTCATGACCTAGTTATCAGGAAGACTAAGAAACAGGAAAATTTTAAGAGAAACTCTTATTTGACACTATTATTGCCTGAAAGAAATGCTGATAATATAACTCTAATGTTAGGAGTGTATATTCTTAGATGTCTCTAGACTCTTAAGAGGCCCTGATGAGATTCCCAGCCCATATAGGGGCCATTGTCACACTTCCTGGGGAGGTGGCATAGCACCATGATTAATTATTGTGATTCACAGTAGTAAGCATTATATAAATTTGGAGAACTTACTGTCATTTAAGTAAATGCGTTCCCTTCAGATATTTTCCTCTTAATTTTTCTGATCATATAGCCAATGAGGAAAATATTTTGGAATTATTTAAAATCAACTTCATTGGACTTGTATAGTGTATAGAGAAAAGTTCATGATGCTGGAATTGGGGCCTTAGAGAATAGTTTTGGATCCACATGTAGTCAAACATCATTCAAAACCAAGAAAGGTGAACAATGTCCACTTACATGTCACCACAATCAGGTAAACAACTAAAGTTTGATGAAAGGAAAATTTCCCTAATTTTTTCCTATAGGTAATCAATTGTTTTGAAGGAATTTAGAGAAGAATGATATTTTAGAAAATAGACATCAACGGACAGTATGGGTCTATGTACTCTACATGAGTAATCCTTATATATGCAAGAAAAAAGAATCAGTTAAATTAGTTTTATTTAAGATAATGATTACAGATGAAAAGTCAATTAATATCTATTACAATAAAGTGAAAAATTTGAATGCTTCTTTTTAAATTAATTTGCATTTTGGTAATTAGCTAAGCCATTATGTGAGGTCACTGATAAGTGAAATTATTTGAATTCTCATAATATTTTGTTGCAAATCAGTATCTTACTTAAACGTAATTTCAATTCATATATCCCTTTATATAAGGTATAAAATAAAGAGCATTTGTAATTTAAAGCTAGGACTCATGCAATAGTACTTTAAATGCTATTAAAATTCAAGTAATTTAAAGTTGTAAACTAAATTTTCAGTATCCAAAACCTGTATTTTTCTCTTACACAAATTTTAAATTACAAAATAAGAAGTACTCTCCTTAGTCTTTAGTAAATTTCAGGAGAGGTTTTTTTTCTTTTCTTTTTTTTTTCTTTTCAATAATCAAAAACATTTGAAAGAGTAGTGTGGATTGGATACATTACATATGAGCATTTGGAAAACACTATGCTGTTCAAAGAAAGCAACATCATCCTAAATTAATAACTGAATTTTCTTCTGGGATAGGAAAAGGGAGCACTGGTGATGGAGACAGGGAGGGTCATTCCAACCTGTGCCACCACTGTGGGTATAGAGCTGAGTCACAGAGAAACTGCTTTGTGGCTTAAGATAGAAACCAGAAAGTAAGAGGAGTAAAGTAAAACATATTAGATGCAATATGAATCTAACTTGACACAACTTCCAAGCCCTTCAGATTCAGAGATATCAACACTATCCATCTTGTGAATGATAATCATCTCTGACATTAGTGACTCCTGCTTTGAATAGCTCATGATCCCTTTATCATGCTTTTTAAATTACATAAATAGAGTGAAAACGACAAAGTAGATATTAAAAAAGAGGGTATTACATTTTGCAAAATAATCTGGAACTTATCAGTGAATTTAAGCAATTATAAATTATATAGGTTCAGTCTTGACGTTGATTACCTTTTCCCTGAGTGTCTGACAAAATGGCAAACCCAAAGTCCTGGGAATGTTATCCAAATTACAATTCTTCACGTGTCCTCCTTTTTTATTCCAAGAACTTTGAAAGTTATGCCAAACCAAACCAATGTAAATTGGTGGATTTGGACATCCTTTTCATGACCACATTATCCTTGCTGAACTAGAAACTACTTATTTTGGAAATATAATTAGACTTTGAACAATTTCTAAATGAGCAATGTCTTCAAGGTACCGACATTGTGCTTTGAGAGTTACCTCTTTCAAGAAAATAACATGACTGTGAATGTTGACAGAAATTTTGCCTGTTATGCTAAAAATACTCTGGGACACAAAAAATCTAAGTTATTTTACATTTTTTCCCAGACTGTCATTAGCAGCATTAATGAAACATTCTCTGAAGAAATCCACATTCACCGAAATAGCATTTATCTGTTCATCATCAGCTGACTTTCTTATGTTTCAAAATAGTGTTTACCATTGGCAGAAATCACTGGGTGTTGCTGTAAGGGATTTTAAAAAGTCTTTCTTTCGTTTTTCTTTTGAAGAAGCTTAGACAGGATAGACACACAATTAGGAGATATTAAACCAAATGGTGGTTGAAGCTCAGTGGAAAGAATGCAGCTGTCATAAGTAATTCCCACCATAAATCTTAGACACTTTCCAAAAAGAAATCTTAGAGACCAACACTGTGTGCAGAGTTGACTGGCTTATCTACCAACGGAGGGGCAGTTTTTTGACAATGCAAATGAGCATGATAAAAATAGTTGCACACCTTGGATTAGGTAGCATTCTTGGTAGTTTGAATTAATGGACACACAATGGAGATGTGGAGTTTGAGTCTGGTTGAAGCCTAATTGTTTTTTCTGATTCATGACAAAGTGCATCTGAAACTCTTGGGTCTGCAAATGTGGGCTGGGAATTTTGCACAAACTGTCCCTTTCCTGAAATTTATGGTGCTTCCTAATTCCTAGGAGGCCAGAGCTACCACAAGACTAGTCATTCTCACAATTCTTTGGACGTCTGGATTTTTCCCCTGGCAAGGACCACTGAGACTGCCCTGTATCTGAGGCACATTTCTTTCTCTTTTCTTCCAAAATCCTGCTTGAGTTCAGAGCTAAATATCAGGAGTAACTTTTGTGACATTCAGACCTATTCCTTCTCTAAATAGAAGTGTTTCCAACCACTTGTTGCTGATTAATCAGTTAATACACTTCAAATTCAATTGAAAGTACAAGATAGAATTATGACTCTACATTTCATTGCATACAATGGCTGCAGTTTAGGCTGTATCTTTGTGCCAGCTTTATTTAGTAATTGCTTATTTCTTGTGAGATTCCCATCCTTCAACAGCCATACCATTTCTTGAAAATGATTACCATAGGAAAGAATTGACATAATTCTGTTCATCAAACAAGAATGCTTTTATTCTATAGAATACCTGTGTAACTTTATAACAATTGTTGAAAGTAAATATTTTTTTTTTTATCATAGGGACAATATTTTTCATGCTACATAGAAGAATATCCAATGATAATGAACTACTTGCCCCAACCTGTTTTTCCAAAAACAGTTATTGGTAACAGTTCTGTTTGCACTTTCTTTGTTGTTGCTCATTTATGATAATGTGTCATATTTCTGAATATTAATTTATTCACTTTGAATGGTATTTATTGACCTATCAGTAAAGATAAAGAGCTTGGTGCATTCATAATTTTTACCACTTATTTATGTACTTTCTTTGTTTTCATTATTAGTTACATCTGTCTATTTCCATTTCAATATATCAAATTACCTTGTTCTATAAGAAAGAAATTGATACATTTATTTTTCCTCTTTCTCCTCTACCACTTTCCATGTTATTATTATTTATAATCTATAATTATGTTATCATTTTACATATTCTCAACATTTATATTTTATTTGTACTTTATAAATGTTTTGTGACTTATCTATGTGTTTATTTTAGTCATTATTTTTTAAAAGGAGTGTAAGTGGGTTC